TCTCCTCCTAGTTATTTTCAGTTCCTTGGGAAAGCACGAGAGCTGCTGCCCCGGGAAGGGCATCTGGGCAGGTTGGGGTCCGTCTCCGAGGGCCTGACAGCTCCCCCGTCCAGCCCTTTGTTTTGCAGAAGAAGGTTCCAGTCCTCGGATTAAAATTTTGCTGTTTAAATTTCATGATAGAAATTACTTTAGGCCTAAATACAGAGTTATCTTCAGATACTTTCGTGTTTAATTATTTCAAGGCATTTTGTTCTTAGTTTGGCAGAAAAATCTGCCGACGGTACTTGGTGGCCGATTTAATGAACATGGGGCATTCCACTTTGTGACTGTCCACAGTGCCCACATTTCAAAACCGGAAACAAAGTTAAGGTAGAGGTTTTTCTCAGGACCCCGCTCTGCAAACTCCACGTGCCGCTCAATTCACAAAATGGCTCCTCCTGCCGCAGGGTGAGGGCTGAGAGCAGATGTCGGTGTGGAAGCAAGAGCCGGAGCCCAGGGTGGCTGCACAGGCAGGGGTGGGACGAGTGTAGGTGCAGTCTCTGAGTTCAGTGTGCACGTGTGTGCCCACAGGGAGACCGAGGTCCTGCGTGCAGCTTCTGTGTGTGTGTGTGTGCACGTGTGTGCCCACAGGGAGACCGAGGTCCTGTGTGCAGCTTCTGTGTGTGTGTGCACGCACATGTCTGCCCACAGGGAGACCAAGGTGCCACCTGCAGCTTCTGTGTGTGTGTGTGTGCACGTGTGTGTGGTGAGAGATGAGGTGCAGGGCACAGTTCTCATGTGTGTACGTGTGTGCGCACGCGCAGGTGTGGAGGTACTGGATGTTGCCCACATGTGGAGACTCGTGCAGGGTGCAGTTCTTACCCGATTTTCTTCCCGCCACGGTCTGCTCAGTGCAGACGTGGGAAGAGGCTGGAATGTGCAGTTTCAGGGGCCGCCCACTGGGACGTGCTGATGCAGACCCACCTCTCTGGGGCTTTAGGGTTAGCTCCAGGTCCTGCCCATCTCTGCCTGCTGGAGGAGGGTGCCAGTCCTGCTAAGGCGGCCCATGTAGCCATCAGGCACAGCCCCTGGGGCTCACTGGACAGGGCCTACTTGATGTTTGGTGTCAGGGACCCTGGCCCCAGAGACCCCATGCTTGGCCCCTCTGGGGTCCACTGCTGTCCTGTGCTCTGAGCCCCATCCTGGGCACCCAGGCCCTGGCTCCACCCTGTCCTGCCATTGTAAGTTCCACAACGTTGCCCCTGAGGCCTCCAGCGAGCCTGGACAGCCCTGGCCTTCCCAGGAGGAAGGAGGGGCTGCCAAGCCTGAAGGTTCACCTGGGAGAGTCTTGGGTGCTCCCTTCCCCATCTCCTCACACAGCGAGACCTTCTCACCCTTGGGCCCTGCTCAGATGCCCGTTCTTCTGGGAAACTGGCCTGGACGCTGGGCGCTGCTGAGGACTCACCCTGGGATCCCACCTGCCCATCCCTGCCCTGGGTCTGGCCTCACCCTGGACCATGAGTCCCTGGAGGGCAGGGTTGCCCTGGGCAGGGGCTTGGTGGGCGTGTGTCAGTGAGGAGGGGAACTGAGCCAAGGCTTGCCCCGCACTTGCCCTGGTGTGGCCAGGAGCTCTGGATGGACCTCGGTGGAGCTCATCAGAGGGCAGCTTGCATCACCACCTGGCACAGTAGCTCCCAATCCAGTGATCCGGGTGGGGCTGGGGCACCAGCCTGGGTTCAGGTGTGCCAGGTGTGTATACCTGGGCTTCAGGGAGATAGGAATTGGAGTGTGGTGCAGTGGAGCAGCACCTTTCCGGAACAGTAACCACGTAGGCTCAGGGAATTAGGAGAAGAGGCCTCGAAACAGAGGCTCCCAGCTTGACCCCAGACTCTGGAGCAATCGGCCATCCCCTGCCGCCAGGGCCTGCGTCTCCAGTGGGCTTCCCGCGTGGATTGGGTTGGATATGGGAATCGGAAAACTGTTTCAGGGGAGTAAGACATTTGCTGGGTGAAGCTTTTCACCAGGACCTGGGGATCTTCCTAAATCTACTCAGGTGATAAAGTCAGTACGTTAGGAACCAGGGATGACGTAGCTTTTGGTGATTGCTGAACTCTTCAAAGAATGTAGAACAGAAACCCAGGGAGGCAAGGTGTGCTCCGTTCCTTCCCCCTTGCCATCCTTTGTATCCTTCCTAGCACCCTCTTGTACCAACTTTGGGCCAACGGAACCTTTAGTCTTAGAAGCATTTTCAGCATCCCCAGTGGGGATGGTGTATACAGACCGGGTGCAGATGGCTGGGTGTAGACAGACCGACCTGCACACCCAGCCTGTTTGGGACGAGGCTTCCTAGACAGGTTTTGATTCAATGGTGGTTTCTGAGTCTGCACAGACAGGAAACTAGAGATGGGCACGGGTACCTGGGCCGGATGCCAGGAACCATCACTGGGTCCTGATGGGCCTGAGCGGCTGTGACCAAGTAGCAGCCCAGAGCGAGCCTCCTGGGGGGTGTGGGTTTCACACCTGGCCTTCTCACTCACCACCCTGCTGTGCTGAGAAAGTGGCCATTGATGGGAACTGGGGCAGAGCAGGGGCAGTGTGGGTGCCCCCACTGTCCCCGGGGCCCTGCTTGGGAGCCACGGATGTCTGCTGTCCGTGGATGTCCTGCTTTTTGCAGGCAGATCAGGAGGTCAGGAGTTTGAGACCAGCCTGGACAACACGGTAAAACCCCGTCTCTACCAAAAATACCAAAATCAGCCAGGTACAGTTCGTGGTGGTACACACCTGTAGTCCCAGCTACTCGAAAGGCTGAGAGAGGAGAATCACTTGAACCCAGGAGGTGGAGGTTGCAGTGAACTGAGATCACACCACTGCACTCCAGCCCAGGCGACAGAGCGAGACTTTGTCTCCAAAAAACAAAAATCTCCGGCCAGAGGCAAAGGCCACGGCAGTGAATTAGAAGTACCTGCCATGCCCCCCTCCAGGCACCACACCCTGGGCTGCAGCATCGTGAGCATCACTGTGTTGGTGCCAGAGGGACACGCTAAACCACGGGTGACATAGAAGCTGGGGCTGGGCCGGGCTGTGTCCGCTTTGGGCGTGGAGCTGCGAGCCAGGGAATGCAGAGAGGGTGAGAAACAAGCATCTTGACTTTAAAATATCACCCTCGTGATATTTTAAACTTCATTGGAAAAATAAACCCTTCACTGAAGAGTGAAGCTTTAAAATGGGTTTTCAGACACCCTCTTCCATTCCTGCTCCACCACCACCGCCCCATTGGCCAAGTGATTACATAGAATTCAGGGCAAAGCTCAGCAAAGTGCCAAGGGACTGGCGGGCACCGGAACTGCACCAGCTGCTCTGCAACACACATGCACACACCGGCCGCTCTGCAACACACACGCACACATCCACACAATCTGCAACACACGTGCACACATCCGCACCGTCTGTGCCTCAGTGAGGCTCATGATCTTGTAAACTGGAAGGCCCTCGGGTTTGAAGTCAGCACACGTTTGTACATTTGGCAGAAACAAGAATCCTGAGTTCTACAAAGACAAGAAATTGGGCTGAGCTGAGCTAGTGGGCGTGTGCTTGCAGGTCCCCTGCCCTGTCTGCTCCCTCTCCTGGCCCCAAGGCCTGGACACAGCTGGCAGGAGTTCCTCTGTCCACACACACCGCGCCTGGCCAGGCTCACACTCCTTCAGAGTCCTGCACACACACTGCAGCTCCCTCATCACGAGCAGCCATCTGCTGGCGGCGCTCCCAAAGGCGGTCCCCAGAATCGGGGTGCTGCACACACCAGGCCAGGAGACAGTGCACACCCTGCCCTCGAGGGACACAGGACTCATGAGCAGTCGAAGGCTGCTATAAATAGACCTGGTTCGTGGCTCACTTGGCTTACTCAGCGCCTCAACCTACCCGACTCTCGGTCTGCAGGCAGCTTCCCTGGGGCAGCTCTGGCCTGGCCCAGGCCCTGAGTGGCCCCAGTGGGAGCCGTTCTGAGGAGGGGGTGCAGGTGGGACCCGCTGAGTGGAGCATGGGGCCTGCCCCAGTCACCGTGGAATCAGGCAGAGGCAGGGCCAGGGCTTGGCAGCGAAGTGCACCAGCCGTCTCCTTCCTCACGTCGGGCAGTTCCGACGGTGGCCCTGGATGGAACTCTGGGCTACTGACCACATCTGGACTTGAGGGTGGGGAAGGAATGGGCCTGGATTTGGGGAGCCGAGAAGTAGGAGGACGCCTCTCCCGGGGACGGCCCAGGGTTGGCATTTCAGCTCCTGCGGAACAGGCCATTCAAGACGCCTGTCCTAGATCATGTTCCTCTTCCTTCCTGCCCATCTCTCATGTGTCAGTTGAGCATTTGCCCCACATCCCGAAGCACAGCCGTCCCAGTGCCCGGTGGGTGATTCTGTCCCCGGCCTGAGACAGGCCCACTCATTCTCATGGACTGTGTGTTTGCTGTGGCTCAGGTGTGATCTGCGTTTTTGGAAATTAGATCACATCAGCATTTCTGCACAAACTCAGACTGTATTTAGATCATTCCTGTCAACAAGTAAGTGGCCCTGTCGGGTCGGTAGGAACGAACCAGTGCGCGCGGGGAAGGGAGCTGACCGGGGGGGTGACGGGGCTGGCAGGGGCTTCTGCTGGTGGGATGCAGGACTCAGGACCCCAGCCCTGACCTTCCCCGACCCACGCAGTTTCCAGAAGCTGAGATGCTGCAGGTACCTCCAGTCGCAGGCCCGGCCGACAAGACAGACCCTTCTCCCACTGCGGGCCAGAGGAGTCCCTGTTTTATTTTCAGTTTCCTTAGGACATTATCTGTGTAATTAGCTATTCAGCGGCATCTCTGATGTAACTGTTGTGGCATTAAAAACTGATTTCATAATTTTTAACTTCTTTGGCTTTCACTGCCTGGCAATTCTTTTCCACACACGTGAGCCTTGTGGCATTTCCTCAGAGACTGTTACCTCCAAAAAACAGCATCACAAATTTTTAAACAAGAATCATTGTCTCTTCATAAAAGCATGTTGCACCAAAATGCCAAGCGGAAATCAGTGGCCAATGATACTGTTTTTAGGGTGCCAAATGGGCACAATTCAGCAACCTTGAGGAAGGCACCCTGAGAGTTTCACCATCAGTACTGTTTAAATGGCAACAAAGTCATCAACACAATTAAAATGTATTTGCTGTGGATGAGCTTGTTTTCTGAGAATAAAGTGGCGCGTGGGCCAGCTCTGTCCTCCCCATGGGTGGTTGTCCCCTCCTCCCTGTACAAACCCAGGAGAGCCGGGAGGAGCAGCTCCCGCAGGACTCACAGGCCCACCCCAGAGACCCTATGCTGTTCAGGTGCAGGGGATGAAACTTACCACAAATCTAGGCTTGGTTGTGCCTCAGTATGATAGGAATGGCAGCCCATATTTACAGAGGTGGTATATAGAGCCCCCGCCCCAGGACAGGGCCACGGGTCTGCCTAATACGCCTGCCCGTCTGCCGTGGGACAGCACAGGGAGAACCACCAGGAGCTTGCCCTGCACCATGGATTCGCGTGCACCTTTTGTCTTTCTCAGTTAACTCACATCATGCCAGACACAGGGCATGGGACTTCAGTGTGGATCCTTCAATGCCAGCCTTGGACCGTCGTGTGCACCTGTCTTGAGTTCTGTACCTAAGGTTTGTGAATTCTCTCTTTCATTTCAGGATCTGGAATCTCTTGATGCCTATATCCAGAGGACGCTCTCTGCCTTGTACCCACCGTTTGAAGCCACGGCAGCCACGGTGCTCTGGCAGCTGTTCAGTGTGGCTGAGAGGTGCCACGGTGGGGATGGGCTGCACTGCCTCACCAGCTTCCTCCTCCCAGCCAAGAGGGCCCTGCAGCACCTGCAGCAGGAAGCCTGTGTGAGTACCTCCCCTGTAGCTCTGAGACGGCGGGCAACCTGGAGGAACCTGCTCTTTCCCTGGGATTGGGCCCATCAGGGCACTGGCTCAGTCCTTTCCTCTGGCTTCTGGCTCCTCCCACCGTTATCCCAAATGAAGGGTCAAACAAGGCTGCATGTCCCAGAAACAAGGCTGCATGTCCCAGAAACAAGGGTTTCTCAGGCTCCCAGGAGTGTGGAGCCGTCTTTGTCCCCCACCCCCAGTAAATTTGCACTGCACTCTTTGAAGGAAGGAAACAAGTCATCCTCCAGAGCCGGCACCTCAGAGCTAAGTTACTGCAGCAGTCACAATGCAGGCCTACCTGGAAGTAGTGAGCACTTCAGAGCTAAGTTACTGCGGCAGTCACTGTGACGGCCCACCTGGAAGGGACAGTAGTGAGCACCTCAGAGCTAAGTTACTGCAGCAGTCACAGTGCAGGCCCACCTGGAAGGGATAGTAGTGAGCACTTCAGAGCTAAGTCACTGTGCGGGCCCACCTGGAAGGGATTGTGGTCTCAGTTCCAGACCGGCAAAGTAAGGAGATACCATGCTAACGCCAGACACACAAAGGTTTTGGTTTCCCAGCGTGTATACAAGTTATGTTTACACTATAGTCTAAGTGTGCAATAGCATTAGCTCTAAAAACAGCATACATACCTTAATTTTAAAATAGTGATTAAAAAATGCGAATGTTGATGGCTGCTGACTGATCACGGTAGTGGTTGGGGCGGCTGTGGCAACTTCTTAAAATGAGACCACAGTGACGTTTTCCACGTTGACTCTTCCTTTTATGAACAATTACTCCAGCAGGCAATACTGTTTGACAGCGTTTTACCCACCATAGAACTTCTTTCAGAATTGGAGTCGATCCTCTCACACCCTTCTGTTTATCAACTAAGTTTATGGAATACTCTAAATTCTTTGTTGTCATTTCAGTGGTGTTCACAGTATCATGCTTTTTTTTTTGAGATGGAGTCTTGCTCTGTCACCCAGGCTGGAGTACAGTGGTGCAGTCTCAGCTCACTGCAACCTCCGCCTCCCGGCTTCAAGCAATTCTCCTGCCTCAGCCTCCTGAGTAACTGGGATTACAGGTGCACACCACCACGCCGAGCTAATTTTCGTGTTTTTAGTAGAGACGGGTTTCGCTATGTTGGCCAAGCTGGTGTTAAACTCCTGACCTCAGGTGATCCACCCGCCCTGGCCTCCGAACAGATTCCATCTTAATCAACCATGTTCTTGGCTCATTCATAAGAAGCAATTCCTTATCCGTTCAAGTTTTATCCTGAGACTGCAGCAGTTCAGTTACATCTTCAGGCTCCACTTCTAATCCGAGTTCTCTTGCTGTTTTCCCCACATCTGCAGTTCCTTCCTCTATGGGAGGCTTGAACCCCTCAATGTCATCCATGAGGGTTGGAATCAAGCTCTTCTAAACTCCCCTTCATGTTGATATTTTGGCCTCCTCTCATGAATCTTAAATGTTCATAGTAGCATCCAGAATGGTGAATCCTTTCCAGAGGGGCACAGTGTGCTCTGCCCAGATCCATCAGCGGAATCACTCTCTATGGCAGCTGTAGTCTTACAAAATGTATTTCTTAAATAATAAGACTTGAAAGTCAAAACTACTCTTGAGCCTTAGGCGGCAGAATGGACGTTGTGTTACCACACATGGAAACAACATTTATCTGCTTGTACACTTCGCCAGAGCTCTTGGGTGACCACAGGTATTGTTGGTGAGCAGTAATATTTTGAAAGAAATCTTTTTTTCTGAGTAGTGGGTCTCAACAGTGGGCTTAAAATATCGAGTAAACCATGCTGTGAACAGACGTGCTGTGAACAGACGTGCTGTCATCCAGGCTTTCTTGTTCTGTCTATAGAGCAAGGCCGAGTAGACTGAGCACGATTCTCAGGGGCCCGGGATGTTCAGAATGGTCCATAAGCATCAGCATACAAGAGTAAATAAAGATATTTATCCTCGAGGCCGGGATGAAACTGTAGTGATCGCCAGGCTGTGGGTGTTGCAGCGAGCTGCTGGAAGGTGCCTGACTAGGTTCTAAAAAGCACGGCCTTTGTTAACCAGCACCACTTAGCACTCCACCGAAACTGAATTAGGACATTGTTTTCAAACTACCACTGGGCCACTTGGTTTATTAGACTCCTTGAATGTCTTTTGGTTAGAATGACAGGGCTAGGGGAGGGGCCAGGCACAAGCTAGATTTGCTTCCTTGTGTGAGGTGGTCTGTTCAGAAGACGTTTTCCTTTGTGAGGATGTATCTTTTGCACATTTCAAGGATGTTGACTGATGTGGGGAAGAAACAGTGTTGCCCGCCGGGAGGCTGGATGACAGCACAGGGAGCCTCGCTGCTTTCCTTGGGTCTGAAAATGCCTGGCTGCTTTCAAAGGCATGCCTGTTTCACCTGCTTTCCGGGAAGTTGCTTTTTGCTCTCGTTTTAATCAAAACCATCCTTCTCTCCACCTACCAAACCGCTTGTCTTCTGGAAAAGTCACGTGAATTATGGTACTTTAATATGGATGCGTATGTATTAGTATTTAATAAGCACAACACAAAACTTAGAGACAGTCTGCTTGACATTGATATTACTTTTTGCTTTTGAATGATAAAAATAAAGTTTGTTCATTTCTATAACAGGAGAAAAATGCATTTACCTTGACTACTGTGAATATATGAATACAAACATATTTTAATATAAATTCAATTCTGTTTTTATTCATTTATCCACTGTTGTCAAAATATGTGGTTGGGAAATCATTATTAATAATAATAATATTGAGATAAATGGTCATGTGAAGCTAAGACTTCAGTGATTACTGTTGCCTGTCTCCCAGCCCTCAGTCAATAAATGACATGCTTAATCACTTATCAAGTTATTTGCCACTTTGTTTCATCACAGTTTGGGACAAAAATGTGTCTGGAGAAGTTTAGAGAAAAGGGCTGGGCATGGCGGCTCATGCCTGTAATCCCAGCACTTTGGGAGGTCAAGGCAGGTGGATCATCTGAGGTCAGGAGTTCAAGACCAGCCTGGCCAACATGGCGAAATCCCATCTCTACTAAAAACACAAAAGTTAGCCGGGCATGGTGGTGGGTGCCTGTAGTCCCAGCTGCTCAGGAGGCTGAGGCAGGAGAATCGCTTGAACCCAACAGGCAGAGGTTGCAGAGAGCCGAGATTGTGCCACTGCACTCCAGCCTGGGCAACAGAGTGAGACTCTGTCTCAAAAAGAAAAAAAATTAGTTTAGGGAAAAGTAATCAGAAAAATACAGAAATAGGATGTTTCCATAAAAGAGAGACAGAAGTGAGCTGGGAATTAGAATGAAAAAATGAAATCAATCAAATAGAAATCGGAAAAGGGGGAGGGAGTAAACAGAATAAAGCCATGAACAGTGAAAAGCACAATGTCTCTGACACAGGTCCAAGAAATAATAGAGCAGCAAAATTCAAAGGATTACTGGGGTGGCAATGTTCATAACAAACGAATATCATAAAAGGCAAAGTGCATCTCTGGGTCTAAAGAAGATCTTTCAATAATAATACTAGTGACAAAAAGCCAGGAAGATATAATCTGTGAACCCCTAACAACATAGTCTGAAAATGTGTGAAATATAAATGGACAGAATTGCAAGGAGAAATCCAGAATTACCGTAGGAGATTTCACCTCTCTCCAAAGCAGACGGGGCAAGCAGACCATGCACTGCTTGGAATATACGTTAAACACACTAACTCTCTTCCACTAAGGGGCATGCGTAGAGTGCTGAGCCCCGCAACTTTAGGATCCATATCCTTCCCAAGTACACATGGAACACTTTCCAAAGTTAACCAAAATCTGATAAAATTCTTGCCCATTTAAAAGCATTTATCCCAAGGATATATGATTAGAGAATATTGGAGAGCCCACATTCTTCTTCTCCTCCTCCTCCATTTTTTTGTTTTTTGTTTGTTTGTTTGTTTTTTGAGTCAGGGTCTCACTCTATCACCCAGGCTGGAGTCCAGTGGTACAATCATGGCTCACTGCAGCCTTGACCTCCTGGACTCAAGCGATCCTCCCACCTCAGCTTCCGGACTAGCTGGGACTACAGGTGTGCACCGCCACACCTGGCTAATTCTTTTATTTTAAAAATTTTTTGTAGAGACTGGGTTTCACTATGTTTCCCAGGCTGGTGTCAAACTCCTGGGCCCAAGCGATCCTCCTGCCTCAGCCTCCCAAAGCACTGGGATTACAGATGTGCGCCACCATGCCCAGCCTACCTTTTTCTTAAGTGTACATGTAGCTTACCAGGATCGACCATTGTCCATAAAGTGTCAACAAATACCAAATAATTTGTATCTAAAGGCCACAGTGCAATAAAACTAGAAATCAACAAAAACAAGAAACCCTTACATTTGGAAAGTGTTTTAACCCATTTATGGCTAATGTTCCATTATTGGAACACTAAGCTTGTGGGAGTTATTTATATCCTACTGCTGAAGGTCATTGCCAAGGTCTGATTTTTCACACACACACAAATTTGCAACCTCCGGCATAAATGGGTTAATGTATTGCTAAATAAAGGATGACAAAACCCCCAAGGAAATTGTCGGAATATTTAGAGCCGAAGAACAGATGTGTCCGGTTACAATGTGGAGGAACATGAAGACCTTTACCACCAAACAATGAGAAACCTAGAGAAGCCCACACCATTGCGTCTTCCTTCAGAGCCACCCACGAGGCATGGATGTGGAAAGCACCTGAAAGGACCATAGAGAAGCCCACACCATTGCGTCTTCCTTCAGAGCCACCCGAGAGCATGGATATGGAAAGCACCTGAAAGGACCACACTGTAGAGAGACAGTGCCTTCCTGAACGAGTAAATAACAGAAGCCACTTTCGTGCCTGTGGCCAGTCACTGAGGCTGGAGGAGGGTGGAGAGGGGAGCAAGCCTACCAGAGAATGACCTTCTTTGCTGAGACAAGGAGAAATCAGCAAGATTTA